AGCACTCAGATGTCTGAGATTAGTGTGTCCCTATTCACTGGCTGCAGTGTGAAGAAGGAAGATGACAGAGTCTAGCTTTTCAATTAAAAATGGTATTTTTTCCTCCCAGAGTGTCTATTCAACTCTGAGCTATGTGTAGGTATATGGTGTCAGGACTTTTAATGGTTTGTAAATTGCGGTGAAATCTTAGGAGGGAAGGATCAGACAAATCATAGTTTTCATCAGTGTACAAGCATTAACATTACTGGGCTTTCTAAATAAAATGGAGCCTCACTAGCTATAGTGACACATTTGTCTATGTCAGAGGCCAAATAGGAGGTGAAGTGAAATACACATGGCACTTAAAAACCTAATATGTTTCCATCACATCTCTGATGCTTATAATTCTCATATACTCTTGTGATTTACATAAAACTGTTTGTGTTTATTATGTGGTGTAAATCTAGAGATTATACTTTGCATATGAAACAGGGATCAAAGAGAAGTAAAACATCTCTTCTGCAATTTTCTTAAAAAATGAAGTCCTAAAAAATAAAATTTCACACAATTTGTTCTTGACTACCCTTTTCCATTAATCTCTGTTCCATTGGAACTAAAGTTGTGCACTGGCAATGACAGCGTTGAGGGGTCATTGTTAAGTAAGGATCTGGGACTGGGTGTTTGCCTTACTAGGTCAGCACTTACTGACTTAAGGTAGTTCTGGAGTTACACCTCCCATTAACTGACAATTGGGCAAAGTTATCTTTCACAGATACTGTGAAGAACCTATCTCCTTCATAGGCAGAATCACTGGCCATGTTTAGTGTCATTTGAGGGCTCCAAAGAAGGATCCCTGTCAAAAAGTCTGTGAGGTTGTCACTATCTGAAATTCATCTTTTAAGAAACTTCATTTCTTTATGGTAAGCAGTGCCCTCTTTCTAAAAAATGCAGAAGTACCACGTGAAATCCCTAACACCTGGGTGTTTAGTTGTTATCAGATCATCTTTCTGCTTGACTATCTTAACCCTGATGTGTGCCTAAGTCCTCTAATAAGAGTGTGACCTAACTAATCTCTGCTCTTGGAAATCAGATGGAAGGTTCTGATTTTCTATCCTCTGTTCCTACTTGCTAACACTATAAAGTTGTAATAAATGTTATTTCAAACTTGTCAATAGATGTGTCAGTTTTAGATCTGTGGTTTCATAAAATGTTTTCCTGGGGCAAATTAAAGCCTTTAACTGTCAATAGTTAAATTCGTATTTTAAAAAACTTGACTTTGGGGTGTGCTTTTGATAGCTTTGAGCTTTCCTTAAATGGCTTGTGTAACTGTGAATTTTTGCTTAAAGATGTGGCTTGTAAAGGGGATATAATATTAACACTAGAGTTTACATTTAAGCAAAATTGGTTTACTTAAAGTAAGGGGTGTTAGAATTGTCTTAATATTGTTTTGAGTTGGATGTTGTAATAAGTGGGGAGAAAAATAAATATGAAATAAAGTTTTCAATGACTTTGTGTAACTTTATATTCTAAAAACAGTACTTCTAACTGAATATCACTGAGAACCCATTTTAACTCCAAAGGGTATTTTCAAGTCCCCAAACTCCAAAATATCTTACTATTTTCCTTACTCTGGGTAAAAATTACACCTTTCCTCTCCTAAGGATAACATTTTAGAAATAACTTGACAAAAGTACCAGATAATAAAAGCTAAGCAAGCTTTTTAGCAGTTGATAAAACTAGAGCTCGAAAAACTTTGATTTTTTTCATCCTGAGTAATCCCTAGGTAAATTAGGGATCTGATAGAAACTGATTTAATTGGGGTTAAAATTCATGGCTTTGTTTTTTGTTTTGGACGGGGTGGTCTTTAAAAAAAAAAAACCGATTATCCTTGTCAGAGCTAACCCTACAAGAAATCCACAGTTTGTTTCACACTGACTATTGTGTTCAGAAAAGTTACTATGGAATATTTCTTTTATTTTTTTTTCGGACAGGGTCCCAAATTGGGGGTGGGGTGGGGGAAGGACACATGAAAAATAAATTTTGTATACTTCTCAATTTTGCTCAGTCTGCCCTGACCCAAGACTTAGAATAATGGACCATAATAATTTTTTCCTGCCACAAAGCAGGAAAACAAAGTCACAAACTTAGATTAAGATTTTGTCATTGAGGTTGATAGTACCACAAAACATTGAACACTGGCATTCCTACTGACAATAGCAAATTTGGGTTTAAATAATTTCTGCAATTATAACCATCTTAAGTCAGGGGGTCCATCACTTTTTTTGTCAAAAGAAGTTACTTTTATTTGCACTAAATCTTGGGATTACAGAAAGTGGGGAGAGAAAAAGCCCCCAACAGAGTGAGCCTGAATGGGCCATTAAAAAAAAACCCTCTAGTTTGGTATAACTCAGTCTTTTTCCAGAAAGATTTCCTAGGCCAGGTAGGTGACTTCTCTGGCCAGGTAGTCTCTGCTTCTGTAGGTTAATGAATTTTTATACACCAAGAAGCTGGTGGCCTATTATGCCAGGAATACTGCACAGATCACCCTTCACAGAGAACAAGAGAAGGATGAAGAGGATAGTCAGGGAGAAGCCAGCTGACTGGGTTCTGGGTTCCTGGGTCCAGCAGCCCCTTGTATAGCCTGTCTACATTCCAGTCCTGGAGTTTCAGGAGGTACCTGATATCTCTATAATAACAAAGGACCCACCCCTCCCCGCTTTTGCTTGTTACCTGGACCATTTCTTGCAAAAAAATCTTGCAGGGGTGATGTGGGGTGGGGGTGGGAACAGGTTATAAAGAGATACTTCCAGATTAACTCAGTTACTAGGGGTTTAATTCTAGGAATCCACAAGGAAATAAAAACAGGAACCAGGTCTCACAGGGACAATAGCATTCTTTAAAACAGTAACAACGAAACTGTGGGGCCCAATGGCCAAACAGGATGCTATCGTAGATACAAGCATGTTTAGCTCCCAACTCCACTACAGTGGTGACTCAATGACCCTCTATCACTGCCTCAGCTTCTCTCACTCAGACAGAACTTGGCCACAGAAGACTACTCTGACCATGCCCCCATTCCGTACTCATGCCTCTTTCTGGGAGAGGCTTACTGGCTCAGTGAGACAAACTCAGTCTAGAATGCGGGGTTACCCTACCAAGTCACCTCACAGGCCTCCAACTGGATCACACAGGAGCTAAACATAAACTTTTGGCCACCTGCTCAGAAGGGCCTGTGGATACAGCAGGCGCTCAGAGAGTCACGTGCAGCAGGGCTGCTTAGTATATTATCACCTGTGCTGTGAACCTACTCAGGAATGAAATGGAAGCCCAATAACACATTGCTGAAAACAGCTATATACTATTTTTGGATCCTAAAAGAAATATTTAGCAAAACTTATATGAGCCTAATAAAACTCATGTTATCTATACTATAAATATGCATGCAAGTTCTATTATATGCACTTTTTCCCTAAAAAAATAAAAAAACGACGTTAGTGGGCCAGTAAAGGTGGTGTGGGCGGCGAAGAATTGATACTTTTGAACTGTGGTGTTGGAGAAGACTCTTGAGTCCCTTGGACTGCAAGAAGATCCAACCAGTCCCTCCTAAAGGAGATCAGTCCTGGGTGTTCATTGGAAGGACTGATGCTGAAGCTGAAACTCCAATACTTTGGCCACCTCATGCGAAGAGCTGACTCATTGGAAAAGACCCTCATGCTAGGAGGGATTGAGGGCAGGAGGAGAAGGGGACGACAGAGGATGAGATGGCTGGATGGCATCACCGACTCGACGGACATGAGTTTGAGTAAACTCCAGGAGTTGGTGATGGACAGGGAGGCCTGGCGTGCTGCAATTCATGAGGTCGCAGAGTCGGACATGACTGAGCGACTGAACTGAACTGAAAGGTGGTGTGTACACTGGTTGTTACAGTGTAACATATTTGTAACATATCAGATTTGGAGTTTGAGCAAGTCTGAATCATGGAGAACAAGGGACAGGCAACTGTTGCCCTTCCTTTCCAGAGTCATCTCCAGCCTGAGGAAGGTACCGCAATGATAAAGGACGGAGCAGAGGCTTGGAGAGAAGGTTGGTCCTTCCACTCACCATTCGTTCGTTCATTCATTCACTCACCAGACACATACACTATACACCAGACCCTGTACTAGGAGCTCGGGCTAACCCGGCTCTCCTAGGGAAATCTTCACGAAACAAGTGAAAGACTTGTTTCCCACGCGGAGGAGGGGCCTCCGGGAGAAGAAGGCGCATCTTTCTGTCGCAGCGCAACCTGTCCCGCCCGCCCCGTCCACTCCCCCAAGATGGCGGCCGCTTCGACGCCTGCTTCGGCGCTGGCCGAGTGGGAATCTTCCCACGCCTTTGGGCTACCGGCTCGCTGCGGAACCCGCGGAGCCCAACGTTCCCAAGAGGCCGCAGGCCCTGCGCTCCCCGCGGCCCCCGCGCCAGGACAGCCCGGCTGAGCATCACCGCTCAGCAGCAGTGCAGCCCCCAGAGCCCCGCCCCCGGGGCCCCACGCCGCTGGCCCGCGTCGGCCCCTATTGACGCCACTGGGGGCGTGTCGGCGCGACGTCGCGACGCGCCAGCAATGGCGACTGTGTCATCCTGAGCGGGCCTCGGGTTTCCAAAGTGGTTTCCAAACGTTGACGCGGGAGCCGCAGCTGCCTCAGACCCGATCGGCGGCGGCGGCGCGCCTGCGCGCTCCCGCCTCGACCCGGATCGAGCGGCGGCTGCGAGGCCCGGCGGGGCGAATCAGGTGGGCGGTGGCGCGGCGGGGCCGGAACCTGCGACGCGCGCGCGCGCGCGGCGGGCGGGCAGCGGGCGGAGCGGGGGGCGGTGCGGCCGGCGAGTGGCCCTGACTTCCCGGGGGCTGCTGGGGCGCCGCGGGGAGGCGGGCCGGGGGGCGGTGGGGAGTGGGCTGAGTGTGGCCAGCCTCCTTTTCTCTGTTCCCCTCCAGCATCAGCTCGGCCTCTTCACTCGACTGGACCTTGCTTCTAGGCTAAGTGGCCAACATGAGCGGCAACAACTTGGATGCGAACGACGAGTTTGATGAGCAGTTGCGAATGCAAGAATTGTACGGAGACACCAAGGACGACGACACCGAGAAAGATCCCGGTGCAGAAACCGATTCTTTCGGGCAGCAGCCGACTGACACCCCGTACGAGTGGGACCTCGACAAGAAGGCTTGGTTCCCCAAGGTAAGAGTCGCTCGGGCGCCGCTGCACAGCGGGCCCACCTGGCCAGCCTCGCGGGGCTCTCCTTTCACGTTTTCTTTGCTGAGGTCCTGGGTTAGAGCCCCTCTGGCTAGTGACGTTTCTTTTTGTTGTATCTGTGGCAGAACTGACGTGTAAAGGAATGGAAATCGTTAGGGAGATGTCTTCAATGTAATGTAATTCTTAAGTCCTTTTTATGCCTTATTAATTTTATCTATAACTGTTGCAGTTGGTTTTTGTCAGTGACTGCTTTTTATTGCAAAGAGGAAAAACACCAAGAGCAAATTCAATCGATATTAGTCTCGGGTAGTCTCAGTCTTACTTATCCTGGGAATTCAGATGGTTAACTGAAGTGGTAGGTGCAAAATGCAACTTCTTGAGTTGAAAGAAATTGATAAATTGGTAAATTTTTACTGATTGAACTTTGAATCTTTTTTTTCTTCCCTACTAAAGTTGGTCCTAGACACGTATATTTGAGCCATATCACTACAGGAATATGACAGGAGGAGCACAGAATTTGGATGGAAAAGATCTGTGCGTATTTATTTAGAGTACCTGTAAATTGTTAAGCATTCTGTTTAAGCTTGGAAGTAAAATGACCGATGTTAAACTTGGTTCTGTAAACTTTTTGGTCAGAGTACCCTGTTAATCAAAGTCTCGTGGTACAGGTGGAAAACAGGATACTTACCACCCACCAATAGACTTGCAAGCCAGTGATGCAAACCGTGTCTGCATTGTGTAATTTGAGTGTTATTTTTTTAATTATTTATTTCAACTATTTTTTTTTCCCCATTTTTTGTGTGTATGTTCCAATCCCTCTGAATTGTTAAATGTAACATTTCACTTGGGTACTGGTGGTGCCAGCTAAAGTGCAGATTTGGTTTCTTCAGCCTTCTGAGTACTTCAGCAGTCATCTGCTAGTAGAGTCATTTTTGGCTCTGTCTTTTTATGTTATGGAACCCATACCACTTCAAACTTCCAAGTTTTAAATTTTCCTCATTCCTATGTGTTCCTCACATTGACTGGTATGAAGATATAACTACGTTTGTTCATTGTGCAATTGTGTCTTTTTCTTTAAGAGCCAGGAGGATGGATGTGAGTTGGATTTGTTCTTGATTTGTTTTGACATTAAATGATAATGTGATTTAATTCGTAATGGTGTTAAAATAGCATTTAATTTTGTAATTGTTAGCTCCATCCTTTATACATCAAATCAGTTCTAGTCTTTGTGTTCTCTGCCTACAGGTATTTAAATATTTAGAGTGCATACACTTATGTTCATCTGTGTAATAAAAGAAAATTTGATTCTGTGGTTAGATTATTAGTTGACTGTTGGTTTTTATTCTGTTTATTGTTATCAGGTACTTCCTTTGATATATATATTTGTAGTCTTAGTCAAGTAGACTACAGAGATAGTAATTTACAATTGAAACAACTAGGACAGGTGCCAACATCACTTAAAATGCCTTTAATAGTATCTCAGACTTTTGTGTTGATAATCTGAGTACCCATGTCTTAATTTTTTTATTCTCTTTTGCAGTTTTCTATGTAGGTGACTATTCTTCATATATGCTTTAATTACTGTTATACACAGAAACACTCAAATGTGACATTGTATAACTGAATATACTGTTATTTAACACAGTGTAGACTTTTCACAGTAGGAAATCATTTTTTAATTTCTGTGTGTGTGTGCGCTAAACTTCTTATTTAGATCACTGAAGATTTCATTGCTACATATCAGGCCAATTATGGCTTTTCTAACGATGGTGCATCTAGTTCTACTGCAAGTGTCCAAGATGTCAGTGCTAGGACTGCAGAAGAACCTCCGCAAAGACAACCCCCTGAACCCAGTGATCTGAAAAAGAAGGGAGAAAAGAGAAAGGCTGAATCAGGCAAGTAGATTTAGCTTGAAAAACATGAATATAAAAGTTAAAAAATATGAGCATGTGTATATGTATTTACTTTTTGGAGAGTTAGAACTTCGACAGAATCATAAGATGGGTATTTTTAATTATTATTATTATTTGGGTTCATGTGTTGACTCTCCCACTAACCTGTAGGCATCAAGCGGATTGTTTCAATTCAGTTCAGTTCTCAGTTTCTTCCTTTGCAGGACAGAATTCTTATTAGGAGATTATTTAAAGTTCTGTTTATATGGTTGGTTTTTTTTTTTTTGTAGTTCTAAGTAAATTAAACAAGTCAATTTTGCTTCAGCTTGGCCAGGTCTGACACAGTAGATTGGAGTCAGAAGCAACCTATGCCAAGCTTATAGTCAGAGCAACGGTAAGGTTTTTTTCTTAAGGTAGTATCAGATGCATAAAGAACCAAGATAAGCTAGCCATCTTTTTTCAGACAGGGTTCTGAAGTGAATTACTTGTCCAAAGATCCAAATACTTTGAAAACTAGCCAGTGATTTGATTAAGTCTGTCTTATTCTAAGGGTAAGAAAAAGTTTCTGGAAGTTTTGAGAAACTGCCACACTGTCAGGATTTCATAATGGGACTCTTACCTTTTCTTGCATGTGTTTTATTTATTTACTTAATTTTTATTTTTAGGATGGTTTCATGTTGAAGAAGACAGAAATACAAATGTTTATGTGTCTGGTATGTATACCTTTTAACCACATTTAGAATAGAAAATATTTGATTTTGAGGTTTTTCACAAAGTTATTTTTAGATTTCCATTTCCCTGAATTCTATTTTGTATCATTGTGTCATTTATTTGTTCAGCCATTTACACTAGTGAGGAATATGTTGTTTTTTTAATAAAACTAAGAAAAAGTACATGTATAACTTTGCATGCCATCCTTTCTGATGGCTTTAGGTAACTCAGCAGTTTGCCCCTTCAGATTCATTGATACAAGGCCTAATCAAAGCATGATTTTAATGTATATTTGAATACATTAAAACATGAAATTTCTTCAAGTCTACAGATGTGAGATTTTTACACACTTTTAGAAAACCAAAATTTTGGTGCACTCATCACTCATCCAAATTACAGATTTTGAATTAGTAGAAACTTAAGTAACCCTTACCTTTGTTATAAATGCCTTTATAATTTTTTTCCTTAACATCGCAGGTTTGCCTCCAGATATTACAGTGGATGAATTTATACAGCTCATGTCAAAGTTTGGCATTATTATGAGAGATCCTCAAACAGAAGAATTTAAGGTCAAGCTTTACAAAGATAATCAAGGAAATCTTAAAGGAGATGGACTTTGCTGTTATTTGAAGGTTAGTTATGTGGTCATGTAAGTTTCTTCTATCTCCATTTCAGCTCAGGAACCAGGGCTATAATTTTGTATAGTTGATAACCAAGGGTGAGGGCTATTCAAAACAGGATGGGAAGAAAACTCTTGATTCTGATTGTGCTTGTGTGTGTCACATTGATAAAGTTATTTACTTGCTCTTGTAAGAAACTATGTTACCAAGTCAAGGTATTACGCAAGTCATAGGATAGAGGTGCTTCTTTTGTCTTAAAAGAATTCTTGCTACAAATATCTCTTTAGGAGTGTATGGATGTAATCAACACAGAACACATTCAAAAACTCCACAAAGAAAAAGTCTGTAACATTTTATTCTCCCATTGGAATGAGTTAGACCAGGGTTTGGCAAACTTCTGCCCACTGCCTATCTTTGTGAATGAAGTTTTATTGTAACACGCCCACTTTGATTCATTTATACGTTTGTCTATACCTCCTTTCACATTTCAACAGCAAAGTTGAATAGTTGCAACACAGACCACATGACCCACATAGCCTAAAATATTTACTCATCAGCCCTTTACAAAAGAAGTTTTCTGACCCCTGAATTAAACCATAAAGGAAGTGATAATTTAGGCTTAGTGCTTTGAAATATATTTTGAATGAGAGAGAAGAGAGGGTGGTATTAACAGACATTTGCAGAACTTTATGTATTCATGGTACCATAAATTGCACAAGGGAAAGTTCAGTGTCAAGGCAGCCATTATTTTTGGAACACCTATCACCTTAGGAGCATGTGTTACTATGCATTATTGCAGGGTACAAAAGAAACGGGCACAATGATGGCATATTACATATGTCTTGGAACCTGAAAATAATTACAAAGTGAAATCAAAGTGTTAAAACAACAGTACCAACGTCACGAGTGTGTTGCGAGTATACAGCATTTCAGTGAAATCAGAGGAGGCTAAGAGTAAGCTGACAGCATTGGGAAAGATAGGTTTTTGACCTCGTTCTTGAACATGATGGGGATCATACAAGACTATGACCATTATAGGAAGATATTTATGTAATTTTCAAATGTAAGGAGCTTGAACACTTAGTAAGTTCTTCAGGGTTTACTAAAAATCTGTGAAGAGTCTTAGGGGATTTAATTGGGTTTTAAATTTTTTTAAAGAGAAAAATAGGGTTTATATATAAACTTTATATATAAAATTATGACCCATGAAAGTACAAGATTATCAAACCAGTGAATTGAGTTCCAGAATAACATAGTTAATTGTTCCAGGATCCATATTTGATTGTGTGTCTGAATTCAGCTGTCCTTTTGAGTTTTCCTCAGATCTTTGAATCAGTGTGGAGCTGACAACTGCCCCCTTTGTATAGGACCCAGAATCCACAAATGTGTGTAATGTTCAAGCTGTCAGATAATCATCTTCCTAGTATATCACAGACCTACATTTTAATTGATGAACAAAAAAAATTAAAGGCTGACCAAGCTATTCCCAGTTTCTTCAGTCATCTAGTCTTTTAAGTAGGAAACTTTTAGAATTTTAAAATTGGAACGCACCTTAGAAATCAGGCAAGTCCATTTGCCTCATTGTACAGATGAGAGATTGAGACTCCAAAAGGCAAAACTGCAATTCCAGTAATGGTATAACTTTTAATTTTGTCAAGAACTCTGCAAAGAAGGCATTTCCATTCACATTTTATAGATGAAGAAATTGGAGCTCAGGGAGCTTGAATAACTTGCCTAGCTTCATATAACTGGTTGGGGACAGTTGTGACTTAAATACAAATTTCCTGATAGGCATTCTGGAGTTCTTTATTCCCATGTAGGTAGTTACATTTTTATTTTGTGTATAGTCATCATTCATCTAAAACACTCCTAAAGTTTCATTTCAGTTTGTAAATTACTGATTGTAACTTGTTTTCACTTTACAAAGAGAGAATCTGTGGATCTGGCATTAAAACTTTTGGATGACGATGAAATTAGAGGCTACAAGTTACACGTGGAGGTGGCAAAATTTCAGTTGAAGGGAGAATATGATGCCTCAAAGAAGAAGAAGAAGTGCAAAGACTACAAGAAAAAGCTGTCTATGCAACAAAAGTTGGTGGTTTTTTTTTCCCCCCATTTTGAAAGATTTTGTATAAATATTCTAGAGTATGTTTTTGGTAATAACTGCATAGTTTTATTTCATCAAATATGCCTGCAGATTATTTTTAAAGAATTTTCATTTACTGTACACCTGAAAACAACACATTATAAATCAACTATATGTCAATATAAAGTAAAAATGTTTTAAACTTTAATTAGATCCTCAGAAGCCTTCAGTAATCTGTGTAATAGGCTGTTTGGCAGTGATGGTGTTTTTCATTTTCTGAGGTGTTCATTTTTAATACAATAGGGGCTTAAATAAAGCCATCTCTACATAAAATATTGAATATCAAATTAAATAAGATGGTTCAGGTTTATATACGAGAGCCATTAGTTCATTTTTAATGTGGATGGAATCAGCGTACCAGGAGCTAAATTTTTACATTCATACTAGTTAGTAGGAGTTAGAACTTAGAAATTATAAGCTTTATCATTTTTCGTGTACTGTGTGGTTGTATATAATATACACATGTCATCAAGTTTCTATTAATTTAATGTTTTTTGAAATATACTGGTTTTAAGAAATGAGCCAAAATGATGAGCACTTAGATCATGGTGAATTCTAATAAAGCTTCTAACACTATGCTTAAACTAATGGTAAAATGGTTATAAAAGAATTTAGTTGTGATGCCAATAGTTTTTATAGAAATAAAGTAGATACCTAAGCATTTTATAGACAAATCAGTAAGATTTAAAATTGTAACAGAGTAGTTTTACATATTTCCGTGCAGTTGTTCTTTATAATTATAAAATACCTAGAAACTAATACAATTTGAACATTTCCTTGGCCTCTAAATGTCTCTTCCTAGATAGTCATAGATACTAAATAATTACCAATTTTCCAGAAGTCTCATTGGAATGTTTGTAACCAGACAGCAGTTCTGAAAAATATACTTACTCTGGGCATTTCAGATACTGGGTCCGTCTTTCACCTGCCCATTATTTTTATTTCAGAAAACTGTGCAGTAACTGTGACTAAACTACACATTGTTTTGGAATCAAATAATAATCATTATTAAGCATTCAATAAAGGATTATATTTATAGCTTGTTTTTTCCTCTCTCCAACAAGTCTGAAATGAAATTCACAACTTCTTGTTCCTACTTTGTCACCTTAGGCAGTTGGATTGGAGACCTGAGAGACGAGCTGGCCCATCCCGAATGCGCCATGAGCGAGTTGTCATCATCAAAAACATGTTTCATCCAATGGATTTTGAGGTAGGAAGAAGTATTCTTACAGTTAGAAACACAGATATTCTTTCAAGAGAACCCAAAGCTTGCCTTACCACATCAACTCATGTCACATCCTGCATGTTCATGAGTTGTCATGGTTGGAAAATGGAACCAAGAATCAATTGAAGGTTTCATATTTTCCCAGGTTTATTCCAGTGTTCTTTTAGTCATATCCCAAGTAAACCAGTCTAATACCCATACTGTGGCCCCAAATGGCAGCTGCTATATTAAAAATACATACAGTCTTGAAAAGATTTCTGTGAGTCACTTGTGGATGTTAAGTACAGTTCAACAATACAGGCTTACTTTGGTGGGGAGGACCAGTTTCACAATTGGAAATTAAAACCTCACTTTAGTGCTGAAAGTTTGATCCTTAAAAAACCTTAGGTTAGTGAAATGCTGCTGCTGCTGCTGCTGCTGCTGCTGCTGCTCAGTCGCTTCAGCCGTGTCTGACTCTGTGCGAGCCCATAGACGGCAGCCCACAGGCTCCTCCGTCCCTGGGATTCTCCAGGCAAGAACACTGGAGTGGGTTGCCATTTCCCTCTCCAATGCGTGCTAAGTCGCTTCAGTCGTGTTTGACTGTGAGACCCCCACGGCCAGCAGCCCACCAGGCTCCTCTGTCCACGGAATTCTCCAGGCAAGAATACTGGAGTAGGCTGCCATTTCCTTCTCCAAGTGAAATACAGTCCTCGACATTTGAGTAGTGGAGGTGGTTTTTCAGAATCTAATTTTTACAACACTCTTTAGTGGCTATTAGGAGGACTTCATAATACTTGATGTCCATGGATGATTCTAGGAACAGCAAATAAAAGTGAATAAAGGAAGCAGAGCTACTAGAGAGGATTAAGGAATATTAGTTGCCATCAGGGTACCTTGTGTTACGTTCTGCATCTTGTTCTTTTCTGTGTGTTTTGGCCTAGACTCATGGGATCATTCATGGAAGAACAATTCTTTATTCTCTGCCTAGATTCTGAAATTAATGATAACAAGTTACACATAAGAAAGCAATGTCCCTAATGTAAAATTCCAGACAGTTTGCATATGTTCTTGTTCCTACCAAAGCCCACTCTTGTTCCTTCTGTGCACTGAGAATCAGAGTAGAAATATCATTTTTTTCCGAATTATTTTTATTAGTTGGAGGCTAATTACTTTACAATATTGTAGTGGTTTTTGCTATACATTGACATGAATCAGCCATGGATTTACATGTGTTCCCCATCCTGAACCCCTGTCCCACCTCCCTCCCCATCCCATCCCTCTGGGTCTTCCCAGTGCACCAGCCCCGAGCACTTGTCTCATGCATCCAACCTGGACTGTCGATCTGTTTCACACTTGATAATATACATGTTTCGATGCTGTTCTCTCAGATCATCCCACCCTCGCCTTCTCCCATAGAGTCCAAAAGTCTGTTCTATACATCTGTGTCTCTTTTTCTGTCTTGCATATAGGGTTATCATTACCATCTTTCTAAATTCCATATATATGTGTTAGTATACTGTAAAAGGCTGAGAAGTGATAGCAATATCATTTTAGCCCCCTTTGAGAGAGCTCCAAAATGGTCTGTGAAGCTCCATCTCTGTAAATAGTGAGGTGATAGGATTTACTGTGCATCTATGGAGCCTGTATCTTTTGAGGTCATTGAGAAGATACATGTGGTCTACTAGTACTGTGTGGTGTCTCTTCTGACTTGAATCCTGAAGAATCTTGAAATATGACAGAGCCAGTTTAGACTTGCAGTGATAATGAACTATGTTTTTTTTTAAAATGCATGTAGGGACTTTCCTGGCGGTCCAATGGTTAGGACTCTGAGCTTCCACTGCTGGGGGCCCCAAGTTCAGTCCCTGGTCAGGGAACTAAGATCCTTCAAGCTGCAAGGATGGCCAAAAAAACCCCACACATGTTCACATGCACACTAAATGCTTTTTGCAGTGCTGTCCCTCCCAGCTGGGTCTTTGAAAGGCATGTATAAATGGATCATGGTATCTAGTCTACTTGATGCAACTCCAGAATTCCCTGTGATTCATCTACATTTTGTTTCCTTGGCATATAATTGTTTTTTTAGTTAGGTGACCTATTAATTTCTGTGACTCGAGACCTTAGATTCACAACATTCTATACTCCTAACACTTGAACATGAACATAAATGTAAATTTAATTTATTAAGTATGTGGGATCTCTGCAAGTTGAAGTCTGTTGAGTAATTACCTTTAACCTGTTTCTGCCTCCTGCCTTGCTCATTGAGACACTTAGGTCTAGCTATCACCCTGGGCAGACTTAATTTTTCCTAGCTTAACAAATAATCTTTCCTCCCAAAAGCACATTTATTCTTCCTTGACTTCTACAAATTCCCTCCAGTGGATGTTTTTAAGCATAGAAATTTTATGCATGTAAGTTCTTGATTGTTTAAAAAAGAAAATCTTGATTGGCTTAGTATAACTTTGGAATTATAGAGCCTTTATATTAACTGGTTTTATTTTATTCATAGCATTTATTATCTGAAATTATTGGATCTTATCTGTTAGAATATGAGCTCCATGAGAGGCAGGGCTCTGTCTACCTGGTTTGCTGTTATAGTCCCAGTGCTTAGCACACGGAAGGCCCTCAACATTCATCTGAAGAAGTGAAAGAATGAATGAAGCCCCTTTTACTCACAAGGCAGAGTGTTTTCATTCACTCAATGAATAGAATATTTTATCTTGAGCATCTTTGCAAATGAAGGAAAGTTTTCAGACAGCTGTGCCGCAGAGGCTGGAGAGGGCAGTGATGGGCTTCAGAGTTCTTGGGCAGAGAAACCCTTGGTACCGTCTTTGTTTGCCCATCTACCTGGGCTTTTGTGGTCTGCCGAGCTTGATGAGAGCCTGTCAGCAGTTTCTGTGTTTTTGCTCAGTGTTTCGTAGGCCTGAATGTGAAAGTGTATCAGTATAGGCCTGTCCACTGTAGTAGATTGTCCGGTGTGGTAGACTATAGCCACATGTGATTATTTAAATTTATTTATTTTATTATTATTATTTTTCCTCTTTGGCCATACCATGTAGCTGGTGGGATCTTAGATCTCTGACCAGGGGTTGAACCTTTTTTTTTAAAAAACAAACAAACAAACAAACAACAAATTGAAGTTTTTGTGGCAACCCTGTGTGGAGCAAGCCTGTTAGTACCATCTTTCCAGTAGCATTTGCTCACTCTCTTTCTCTCTGTCACATTTTGGTAATTGTCACAGTAGTTTATACTTTTTTGTTATTACTCTATTTGTTATGGTGATTTGTGATCAGTAATCTTTATTACTATGATGACTTGCTGGAGGTTCAGGTGATGGTTAGCATTTTTTAGCAGTATTTTTTAAATTAAGGCGTATCTTTTTTTAGATATGTTGCTTTTGTACACTTAATAGACTACAGTATAGTGTAACGTAACTGGAAAACCAAAAAAGTTTGTGTGACTTGCCTTATTGCAATATTTGCTTTATTGTGCTGTTCTGGAACCGAACCTGCAGTATCTCCAAGTTATGCCTGTATGTCTTTATTCCAAACAGCCGATTAGTGTTAGAAGCAAAATGCCTGGAAATACCTTTTGGTATCAGGGTGAACAGTGAAGGCTAGTATTTTAAATGTAACTTTAAGGGGTTTTCAGTGTTTAGTTCAAAGCCTTATTTTAAAAAAAAAATCATGCCTGGCAAATTTGAATACTGAGAGATGGAAAACCAAAACTCAGATGCAGAGGTGGATTTCTCATTGTGTATAACAGGGCTGTCCAAAAGAAGTCTAATCTGAGCCACATATGTAACTTAAATTTTTCTAGCAGCCACAGTATAAATACAACATGAAACGGGAAGTAAATTTTATTTATTTATTTATTTATTTTTAATTTTTAATTTTTTTTTCCATTTATTTTTATTAGTTGGAGGCTAATTACTTTACATCATTGCAGTGGTTTTTGTCATACATTGAAGGAAGTAAATTTTAATAATGAATTTTCTTGAATCCAATATATCCAAATATTATGATTTTAGTGTATACCATAAAAATGTTAATAAGCTATGTTTCATTGTTTTTTTCCCCCTTTGGTACTAAATTTTCAAAATCTGATATTTACTTCACATCTGCAGCCCACATCAATTTGGACAAGCCACGTTTCAAGGGTTCAGTAGCCACATGGGGTTATTGGTGACTGTCTTGAATACGTTTAGATTGGAAAGGAATGAGAAATACGGTTTTTTCCTGGGAAAACAAAGCACCACCCTGGAAAAAAATTATGAGTGTCGAACGCAGAAGGTTTCAGCTTAACTGTCTTGAGTTTAGTCTCAGGTCTGTTGCTTGCAAAGAGCTTGGAAAATTTTCATGCTTAGCTCAGTTAAAGATACTTAACCAGGGGAAGGGGTTATTATCTTTAAGTCTCATGATACTATAGCAGTAGAGACACATTTGTTTTTCAAGCTGGTAAAAATGAAAACAGAAATCTGGGAAGTCTTTGGCTGAAATTTTATGTTCTTTTAGGAAGGGCACTGAGACTTTGATAAAGAAATAAAGACAGGGACTTCCCTGGTGGTCCAGTGGTTGACAGTCCACCTTCCAATACAAGGGACACTGGTTCAGTCCCTGGTTGGGGAACTGAAATCCCACACGCCACCAGGCAACTAAGCCTGCATGCTGCAACTAAAACCTGATGCAGCCAAAAATAAAAATAAAAAAGTTCTTAAAAAAAGAAAGACAGTAATGCACCCCTCCCTCTACTGTGGAATCATGCTTAAATTTGTCAAATATTTTGAAACAGTTCTTATTTTTAGTATAATCCTGATTTCCTTTGGGAAAGAAAATAGAGTTATTAGGAACAGTTTATCAAACTGAGAAAGTTTTTTATCGACTGTTCATTGTGTGAAAAGACTGTGCTGTGTTCTGTGAGGTATTTGAAATTCAGTCAAGGGAGATTCCTGCTTGCAGAAAGCACCCAATCTGATAGGAGCTACCCGCCACACACACATCCCTAGAAGCCACCCCATGGCTTCACCAAATGAGTATGGAGTTTATGCTCCATTCCCCATTCCTCTCAGGTTTGAGAATTTTGTATAAAACAAATTGGCATATTCTCCAAAGTCAGATTTTGTAAGTGGGAGAAATCCAGAGTCCTGCCAGCTATAGTTTTAGAAGCCTCAGATTTATAGGATTTTTACAGTTTTAATTTTAAATTTGATTTCAGTAACTGCCTGCCAGTTGTTTATTTTTGCCTTTTGACAAACTTTAAGAAGAAGCCACTTGTCATTTTTTGCTGTTCTCTTTAGTTGGTGAGGATTCAAATGTTTCCTAAAAAGTGTTCAGGTCTGCTTCAATAGAAATTAGTAGATAGGATATCCTTGTATTGTTTGTATGTAGTTGAAATTCAGGTTGATAATGTAACTTTTTTACGAGCCTTTTTCATGCTTTGGAACTTGAAGAAAAATTTAATTCCCACAGGAAATCTTAAGTCCTTTTGTTGTTGGGGGAGGGGGACTCAAGACCACTAGAAGCAGCAGTGTTTGAGTATTCTTAATAGACATAGTTGCAAGAAAGCAGTAGTTAAGTTATTGTGTGGTTAATAGCAGCTCCTTATTTGTGTGTTTCTATTGCAGTGTGGTAGGAGGCAAGATGAACAGGAATCCTTATAAGGGAGGTTTACCCTATGAGTTAAAATAGAATCTCAGAAGCACAGAGAATAATTGTAGGACACTCCCTCAATGAAGGGCTTCCGTCATAGCTCAGTTGGTAAAGAATCTGCCTGCAATGCAGGAGATCCCAGTTCAATCCCGGGGTTGGGAAGATCCCCTGGAGAAGGGAAAGGCTACCCACTCCAGTATTCTGGCCTGGAGAACTCCATGGACTGTATAGTCCACGGGGTCGCAAAGAGTCGGACACGACTGAACAACTTTCACTTCACCTCATTTCAGTCAATGAAAAGGATATATGTCTCCCCCTTGCAACATTTTAGTAAATAGGAATCTATGCAAAGCACAAAGCAAAGATTTTTCATCTTCACAGTCACTGTAATGCCCATGCAGAACATGTGCCACAGGACTTCACCTGTTACAGCTGTTATTATTTGGGATTTTCACTGACATGTTCCTTCCAACTCTCCTTTGCCACTGCATGTTCCCATTGCTGCCTACCATACTTGTCCATCCCCCCACCTTAAAGCCAGGCAGACCAGTAGTAGTAGCCGCAGTTGTGATAGTCTAACCTCTTTCGACTTTGATTTTTTTTAATTTTGTAGACTGCAGGCAAACATAGCTAATAACCGTAAGCAAAACTTTTGTTTGTTGGTTTGTCAGAGCAATAAATTTCATTCTCAGGATTTATAAAGGGGAAAACCCCTTTTAATTGAGTGTGTTTCTGTAGGATGATCCACTGGTGTTGAATGAAATCAGAGAAGACCTTCGAGTAGAGTGTTCAAAGTTTGGACAAATTAGGAAGCTCCTTCTCTTTGATGTAAGTTCATGGCTTGAACAAATGATTCCTAAAGCAATTTTTTTCCATTTTAATAAGTTATTATCAAATGTCAGTATGCCTCCAAGTTTTTGTATTAATGTTTTTATGTAGTAGGTCTGCTCTCTAGTGGTGGTGGTCTGTTAGCAGCAATTAGATGAACGTGGATTACAAGCCAAGACTTTGATAGACTTGGTTATTTTCCTTTATCATCACTCTTGAGTATGTATATGGCCAGGTGAAAGTATAAAAGAGTCATCACTTATTGATTGCAAACTACAGTCACTTTACATGTTATCTCATTTAATCCTCCCAATCCCCTGAGATAGGTAGGTGCTATTTTACCCATTTTTATTTATTTACCCATTTTACAGATGAGGGAGTTTAGAGATTGAGCACCTTGCCCAAGGTCATTTAGCTGGTAAATGGCAGAGCCAGGATTTAATCCCAAGGCTGTTCAGCTTCAGAGCCCACATTCTTAACAACCGTGCTGTCTGCTTCTCCTTTGATACAGTTATGAGCAGGAACATTTCCAAGTAAATCATGCTTTATTTTTGCTAGACAAAGTTAAGCTAAAGAAGTAGCTAGCTGTGTGTCACTGGCTGGAGTAAATGGAAAGAAAGACTTCATACATAAAATCTTTAGCTTAAATGATCAGAAAGAATACTACTTCCCTACTTTGCCATGTGCGTATATTTCTCTTTCAGTTTTCTCATTCATTCCTTCTTTTATCTTCCTTGTTTTTTTTTAGAGACACCCCGATGGTGTGGCCTCTGTGTCCTTTAGGGATCCAGAGGAAGCTGATTATTGTATTCAAACCCTCAATGGAAGGTGGTTTGGTGGGCGTCAAATCACTGCCCAAGCGTGGGATGGAACTACAGATTATCAGGTGAGTTCTGCAACTGTCAAGGGCACATGTATTCTTTCATTCCAACAGATACTGATCTAGCAGTTTTTCATGTAAGTTTTCGGTTATGTGTCATCTGTTTAATGTAACAGTACTTTTAAATAATCCTTTACGAATTGTAGTTTTCAGCTTTAGCATTAATCCTTCCAATGAATATTCAGGACTGATTTTCTTTAGGATGGACTGGTTGGATCTCCTTGCAGTCCAAGGGACTTTTGAGAGTCTTCTCCAACACCACAATTCAAAAGCATCAATTCTTTGGTGCTCAGCTTTCTTTATAGTCCAACTCTCACCCCCATACACGACTAAAAAATAAATAAATAAATAAACAAATAAATAATCCTTTACATTCAGAGTATGGAAAGAAAAATGTTTCATTCTTTCAGGTCATAAGTCTGAAGTGTTGAGCTTGCTCAGAACAGCAGTAGGGAAAGAACACATTAAGCTAAAGTGTTTCTCTTCTTTTCTGTCTTATGAAGTACAGACAGTTCAATGATTAACTTTTTAATTGATGAGGTATTTCTGCAGTCCTGTGGCATTGGGCATTTATTTAAACAATCTTAAGGTCAGCGCTAGTAAGTTAAGGTGTAAAGTTTGGAAAGTGAAGATAGGGAATTGCTTTCATTTCCCAGAAGTGATACCTTATAAAATCAGAGTACTGTCAGCAATATTAGAAATGTTCCAAGACGTTGTTACTTCTCTTGGCCTAAAACATCTCTTAACAGCAGTTTCCATGTGTACACAGGTGGAGGAGACCACAAGAGAAAGGGAGGAAAGGCTGAGAGGATGGGAGGCTTTCCTCAACGCTCCTGAGGCCAACAGAGGCCTGCAGCGTTCAAATTCCATCCGTGCTCCAGAAAGGGCAGGGCCTTCTAGAGTTAGGCATTTTTCTGAGCACCCTGGTACATCTCAAACAAATGTTCAAGCAGCCGCAACTGAAATGGCATTTGAAGAACCTATAGATGAAAAGAAGTTTGAAAAAATGGAAGATGGGGGAGAAGTTGAAGAAGCTGCTTCTGAGAAAGATGCTCAAGAAGGTGGCCCTGAAAAAGAAGCTGAAGGTCCCCAAGAAGAATCTGAAGAGAGCTGCCTTGAAAGAGAGTCTAAGGAAGGCTGTCCCAAGAGAGAGCGTGAAGAAGACTTCCCCGAGAGAGAGTCTGGAGAAGGCAGCCCTGAGAAAGAGCGTGAAGAGGGTAATCCTAACAAAGAGTCAAAAGAGACTGTCCCTGAAAGAGAATCCAAAAAGAAGAAACTCAAAACAGATCCTGACAAGAATGGCCATGAGAAGGAGTCTGAAGAAGAAGGCCCAGGTAAGGAGTCTGAGGGGGAGGCCAGCCCCCAAAAGGTGGCTTCTGAAGATGACGACTCAGAACAAGAGTCTGAAGACTGCTCGGAAAAGCAGTTTGAAGATGGCTCTGAAAAAGAGTTAGAAGAAAATGGCCTTGAGAAAGGTTTTGAGGAAGATGCCTCCGACAAGGAATTTAATGAAAACATTCCGGAAAAAGAGTTAGAAGAAAATGAGTCTGAAAAATCAGAATTCGAAGACGACAGCTCTGAAAAAGTGTTTGATGAAGAAGGCTCTGAGAAAGAGTTTGACGAAGAGTCAGATGAAAAGGAAGAAGAGGAAGATGCATATGAAAAGGTATTTGATGATGAGTCGGATGAGAAAGAGGACGAAGAAGATGCAGAAGAAAAGGAACTTGAAGATGCTGATGAAAAGGACGAAGAAGATGATGCAGATGAAAAGGTATTTGAAGATTCAGACGGAAAAGAAGATGAGGAAGATGGAGATGTAAAGGAAGATGAAGACATAGATGAAAAGGTGTTTGAAGATGATGATTCCAATGAGAAGTTGTTTGATGACGATTCCAGTGACAAATTGTTTGAAGATTCTGATGAGAGAGGGACTGTGGGTGGTTTAGGGAATGTTAAGGAGGAAGGGCCCTTGTCCACTGGCAGCAGCTTTGTTCTCAGTAGTGATGATGATGATGATGATGACGACACTATTTAATCCCTTAAACTTGCTTTTTAGGGAGATTCCATCTCCATTTTGCCTCTGCTGCAGGGTAATTACTCGTAGTGTTACATGAGCGTGTGCATAGATGTAGGATGCCATCTGATTAATGCAGTGAAGTGTTCATGGTTATCTGTACCTAATTTTAAATATGTGTTCATTGGCTGTTCAGTTCAAACTCCATAGCATAATGCAAGTTAACTTGCTCCTCGTCCTTTGTCAGATTTGTTAAGTGCATGCAAAATAATATTTTTTAAAGTATTCTGATTGAAGTTTGTGACATTCAGAAATAAAGAAAGTTGTTGATATGCAGAAATGGAAAATTGTACTTGAGTTAAATTGCATTTTTAATTCTTGCTCTTGCTTTTTTCATACTAACGTTTGGTTTTTTTTAAGGACTTGAAAAATCCCTGTAGGTGTCTCCTTGCTTCCACTTTATGATGTTACCACTGATATCCCCATTTCCCCTGTCTAAACCAGAACATGTTACTAAAACTTATGAGGTAAAGAACTCTTCTGAGTTTTTCGCTCCCCAGTCCTCACAAGTTACTTTTTTCTACCCTCTTCCCATGAAAATTGACTCTTAAATGTGCAAAGGTGAACTTCCCAAAGTCCACAGCTTCCATTATTGAAAAAATGGAGGAGATTAGAATTCTACCATTTACTGTTTGGATACCTCTAGAAGTTGATTCAAGTTACAGGACCTTTCCCCAGAAAAATCTGTGCATACACTACACAACCTTTTGTATCCAGTTTGGGGCAGTTCGTGTGCATCTCCTGGAGTTTAAGAACTTTTCTCACGCATATTTCAGATTTTTGTTTTTGGTTTTGTTCTAGAATCGTGGTACCTAGTACTATGGAAATTGTGTAGTTCCAATAAAAAATGTGGCTCTTCTCTTGATTGCGCTTTCCAAATTCAGTATTGATGACTGACTTCTGATGTTGCACTTAAGAAGTTATTCTCATAAATTAGAATTAAAATAAACTGCATTGGTGCATTTTCATTATACCGTCTGTCAGTGTAATCATTACCCTCTTCAGACAGAAAAGAGTTGTACTTCAAGCCAACTTCCTGAGAATTTTTTTGTTCATGTCTGGGATCTGTTAAAAATCTTCAGCCTTTTCACCAGGGACAAATCAGTGAAAGAGGTGAAAAAAGTTAAAAATTGCAAACCAAAATAGTGTTCCTTTTAAAGATAAGCCAGAAAAAAAAAAAGATAAGCCAGAAGCATTTAAACAGTTTATTGTGTTTTACTACAGTTTATAGTAATTTGGTGGAGAATTGTTTTTCTAAACAAAAAGGAAAGAATGCTTTCTTTTCTGTACACAATGGAACACATAACTACAACATACTTTAGCTCTAAGACTGTTAGAAGGAGGCCATTTTCATTCTAACTTCTTTCCCCTGCTCATTAATTTGGTTTATATCAGATACTCATACTCTTTCACATAAACATCCTGGAAGCAAAATTCACCAACAGCTGCAAAATGGTAAATAATTTATGAGGTGATACTGGTGAGCAGACATTAAGAGTCATGAAGCACCCACCTGTTTTCCAAGTAATCAGGTTTTAACGGTCTTGAAAATGGAATTTATTGTTAAGCAGCAGTACCTCCTGTTATTAAAAGAAAATTAAAATGTAAGGGTGGGTGATAAGCATTGCAATGCTCAACAATTCCCTGACAATTTCTAAGGAGTAGTGCTTCTTAAAACTGTATATATGTCATAATGTATTCAACTCTGAGTGCACGAACCAAAAGTTGCTTCAGGAGTGCCGTTGAAAGGCTTGAACACCATGCCCTCTGAGTCTACAAGTACTTTACATAGGAACAAACTTGAAAATTCATGTTAGAAGGTAAGAATATTACTGATCTTGCCAATATCAATGAAATAACTGAAATCATTACTACTTTTTACTAAAGAGACCTAACAGCCAAACTGGAGTAATTTGTTCCAAGGATCTCTTCCTTCTCAAGTAACTGGGCTTTTTCTCAAGCCATAAGTGCCCAAATCTGGCCAATTTGGAAGCCACCACCTTCCTTTGTAGAATGGAATCTGTTTTCCTGATGTAAATTATTTGGAGATGCTAAGGCTTGGCGAGAAGGTGGCAGTTAGCTAATCTTCTGAATACACCTTTCTCAAATAATGTCCAGAAGTGCTGCTCGAAGTCCTCTGGTGGCCTAGTGGTGAGGATTTGGTGCTGTCACTGCTGTGGCCTGGGTTGGGGAACTGAGATCTCATAAGACATGAGCTGTAGCCAGAAACGGAAAGTGCTGTTAACTACTTTGAACAGTGCCGTGGCTTGAAAAACAGCAGATGGCTTATACATGTGCCCTTTGTGAATCTTTGTCAGTATTCTTAAACATTACTTTTTCCTTGTTGGGCCTCAGATTTGCACACTGCATGCCTGTTTTTAGACACTTCTGTACATTTTAATTTTTATTTGGAGCCAAGAGGATACTGGTGCTAGATATATTACACTCAAATAACATCAGCACATTGGCTGCTGTTAGTTATCCGTGGCATATCTGCTGTTACCAGTGATGCACCAGTGGTCCTAAGCTAGATAAAGAAAGCTCAGACAATTTTTAATTTAATTAAAAAATGAAAAATAATAACAAAGTTTAGCAACACAAAGGTGGCTTTGCTGCCAGCATTCTACTTTTTGCACCCTCTGTAACATTTCTGCTAAAATAGCAATGATAATGTTAGAAGAGTAAAGCTCTAAGAATAAAACATTTTTTGATTTGCCATTTCCTGATTTTTTTTAAATAGAAATGGCTTTAATAATAATAATGATACACCTGCAACATCTTTTTTTTCCTGCAACATCTTAATGTAAAATTTTGTAGGGACTTCTGTGGCAGCCCAGTGGCTAAGGCTTTGAGCTCGCAATACTGGGGTTCTGGTTTCAATCCCTGGTCAGGGAGCTAGATCCCACACGCTGCAGTTAAAGAGTTCAAGTACCACAACTAAGACCCAGCACAGCCAAAGAAATATTATTTTAAAATTTGAGGGACTTCCCTGGTGGTTGCCTGTGCCGTGTTGGTGGGACAGAGGTGAGCATAGGTGCCTTCCTGATGCTTCACTGACTGGAGGTCCACCTGCCAGTGCAGGAAATATGGGTTTGATCCCGGGTCTAGGAAGATCCCACATGCCTCAGTGATTAAACCAAAGTGCTTACTGCTGAGCATACCCGCCGAGAACCTGAGCTCCATTCACAACAAGAGAAGCCACTGAAATGAGAAGGCCACACACTGCAACTAGAGAGTAGCCCCACTGGCTGCAAGTAAGGAAAGCCCATGCATAGCAACAAAGACACTGTTCAGTCAAAAATAAATTTTAAAATATTAATTTATACTCGGCTATATGTCTAAAGCTTGAAATGTGGTATCTTGAGCTCTTTTTAAAAAATTTTAAAACTATATATTTTTTTTTACAAAATTTTTTTTTGTTTGGCCATGGCATACCATGTGGCTTATGGGATCTTAGTTCCCCAACCAGGGATTGAATTTGGGTCATCAACAGTGAAAGCACGGACTCCTAACCACTGGATCGCCAGGGAACTCACAAATCTTTTAAATAAACAAGATGGGAGAGGGTGGGATGAATTGGGAGTGTAACACTGACATATATATATTGGCACCTGTAAAGTAGATAACTAGTGGAAAGCTGCTATATAGCACAGGGAACTGAGCTCAATGCTCTGTGATGACCTAGAGAGCTGGGTTGGGGGTGGGGTGTGAGGGAGGTTTGAGAGAGAGAAAATATATATATGTGTAACGTTCACTTTGTTGTACAACTGAAACTAACACAATATTGTAAAACAATTATACTCCAATAAAATAAGCTTTGGTTTTCAGGACATTCTTAAGAAATTATAGATTAGAGTAATAAAAATGTGTATATCATTTTAATGCTTTTTACTAGGGATATGTTGTTTACCATATTAAGATACAAGTAGTTTAGACTATTGGTTTGGTGTATTTACACTCACTGTAGCATCTATTTCATTTGATTCAGTCCATTAATAAGTATAGATTGGGCCAATGTGTATCTATTAATATACTAGATGAAGTGGGACAGAAGGAGCAGTGAGAATAAAGGCAGGATTAGGCATGAACCCTCCTCAATAGGCAGCTATAGTCTATGTTGAGATAAGACAGTAAAAAAAAAAAAATATAAGTCAGGACTTCCCTGGTGGCCCAGTGGTTAAGACTCAGCTCCAAATGCAGGGGACACAGGTTTGATCCCTGGTTGAGGGGACTAAGATCCCACATGCCCTGCGGTGTGGAGGAGAAAAGCAAATATGGCAGTGATCTATCAGTACCATTTCTAGAGCCTTGCACAGTTGTTTAGTCACTTAAGTGATGTCTGACTCTTTTGCTCCTCTGTCCATGGGATTTTCCAGGCAAGAATACTGGAGTGGGTTGTCATTTCCTTCTCTAGGGGATCTTCTGACCCAGGGATCAAACCCACATCTCCTGCATTGGCAGGTGGATTCTTTTACTGCTGAGACACTAGGGAAGACCATGCTAGCACAGTGCCTTGCCCTTAATAAGGGCTCAAATAAATGTTGAATGAATGAATTCTATGGATACACTTGCACACTCTCATTCATTCATTTGAAGAGGTTTGTTGGCTTTACCACTACCTCATCATCATTCTTGGTGATTTTCAATATCAAAATAAATTATCCTGTTCTCCCCCTGGTCCTCCCACCTCAGCAGCCCAACTCTCCAAATTCCACATCTAGGAATCATCTTTGTTTTTGTTTTTTTTTTCATCTTTGATTTCTCTCTCCACCTCCCACATCCAAGCCATGTTGGCTCTAACTCCAAATATACCCAACATTTGAACTCTTCATCCCATGTCTATTTCCACCACATTTACTGCCCACAGTGCCCTGATGGGTCTCTATTAAAATGCTCCAGTCACAAAATAAAATGCTTCAGTCACACATAGAATAAAGTTCAAACTGCTTACTGTGGCCTGC